AATTTGTGCCCAAAAGTCACCTTTCGGCTGCCGAAACCAGGGATCGAACCAGGGACCTTTAGATCTTCAGTCTAACGCTCTCCCAACTGAGCTATTTCGGCACAGAGCGTAGCAGCACAATGGCGGTCAATGAAACATTTAATATAACATATTATGAAAAGGACATCATATACAGATTGTCCAACGTTTTAAAAAAAAGGATAAAATCTTCTCAAATGTTTCAATTTATTGCTTTTCTTTCTTGTTAGAAACTATTTAACTCGCCTGTTTCTGCCACCTGCACTTCCTGTGGTGACCGCAGGGGGGCAGCATTGGCCTTCAATCCTACCTTCAGTCGGAGATCGTTCCGTGAAATATAGAATATAATTATTTAAACGTCTTATCAACACACATTTAAACCTTGTATTAAAATTGCCTTCATTATCAGCTCCACCCACAATAATTTAAACAACTACCTACTTTATTTAAAAGGACAACAATGCTACTGTAGTTTTTTGTTTTCCATCATGGCAATGGCCTTTTAATTTCTACATCCATCACCACCTGACACTCTGAAATCATAAACTCCAAGATGTTTTCTGAAATGGATTCTGAATCATTTTCTATTGCATTCTTCCAATTAATGCCAATCACACAGGCTGATCATCATAATGCAATAAACCCAGGAATGAAGCCTCTGTGTTTTTTCGAGGGGGCGGAGGGGAGCCTCTCGTTAATTGGATCTGACCCTAATTTTTAATTTCCCGTTAATAATAAACCCTCATATATCACTGCGGGTTGTGTGAATGCAGCAGAACAAAAGAGCAGCTGATATAAATATATATTACTTTATTGCTTTCCTCACAGCTGATCTCGGGCCTGATATCGTTTCATATCAGTTTAGAATAACGTGGTGTTATCTGTGGGATATATTTCATTTCGATCCGTGAATCTGTATTGTGAGACTGGAATAAAGCTGCCTTTAACAGAGCGGCTTATAATTCTCATTTTAAATCGGGATGCACTGATTTGATTTGAGGTCCATATGAAATGAAAACATCGTCAAATACCAACCACCAGAATATTTCAATGCCATCATGTAACACAATATATTGCACCCTGAATAATTCAGCAACAACATTTCTTCACAAGCACAGACTTACAGAATTAAATATAAAAGGCTGTTATATTAACACTATGAGAAATCGAACATTTCTTATAATTCACGTATTTGTTGTTGTTATATTTCAAATTAAAATGGTGTATTTACCTGAAACTCGTCAAGATAAATTGCTTTTATTTACTCTGACAAACTGGACCGCTCAGGCCTGCTGTTCCTCTGCATTCAGCTATATATTTAATATATTATCCTAGATTTAGAATTTAAGGTTTATTATTTTTCAGCCGTTAAATAGTATTTTTTTTTTAGACACGATCATGATTTACATTTTTGGGACTATTTCTTTAATTAGATGTATCTTTATCTTCGTCTTCCTCCTACAATGGGAAGACAGACCTCTCATATGTTATATGTTTGGCCTCCCTTTACGTATGATATTGTAATATATATATTGTCTTTTGTGAAGTGTTATAAATAATAAATCAATGCTTCATTTCCAAACCGTCTAAAAGAAGTCTGCAGACAGAAGGTTGGAAGTGCGGATGGTTAAATAAGTTGATTTTTATTGTAGGCCTAATTGGCAGATTTAAATCACTCCGCCGTGGTGTTGAAGTGAAGGCTTTATGAGGGTCGGATATTTGATTTGATTTCTGATAGGACTCCACGGTCCTGAGAGGCGGATCCAGGCTCCAGGACTGCGGGGAGAGGCTGTGAGGAGGCCGGGGGGAGGGCTTCTCTCTCGGCTGTCCCCCTCTCTCTCTCTCTTTCTCACTGAGGACTGGTGGACCAGTTTCACTCACACCTCTGGATTTACAGCAGCTCCAGGTCTCTGTGCAGATTTGAGGATTTTTTACAGACGGGCCTTTCGGTTTGTAGAAAAGTCTGGAGCTTGAATTCAGAGATGCTGCACGACATTAAAGTGGAAGCTGACCCGGGATCCCTGGACCTCCTGACCGGTGAGTTCCTCTTCATCCTGACCTTATCCCTTTATCCATGTTCCCACCCATGCTCTTATTTATCATGGGGGGCTGCTACAATAACATTAACAAGGAGAAGTGGCAGCTCCTACATTTTCTCTCAGGTGACGCGAAAATAGCCTTTTATGTAAAAACCGAGAGAAGGGCAGGAGGGAAACTCTGGCTCAGGTGTTATAAACACTTATGAACACTTGTGAAATACAAATTATGTACAATATATATGCCGTTAATAACTGTGCAATATATACCTGGCTGCTATATCTCTCAGAACTGTTACAGGATGTGTATTTTGTAATTGTATGCATGCTTCTTGGTTAACATTAAGCTGTCTTTGGCTCTTTTCTTGCAGTAACAAATGCACATTTCCCCTCGGTGGGACGAATGTACTCTGATTCTGTTCTGCTGTTCATGATGATTATTTGCATTTTGCATACGTTTTTAATGGATAGATTTAATGTTATGATTTTTTTAAATACACAAGCACCTGTATGTTTTATTAATGTAAATTGTAATTTTTGTAATGTCTACTTTTATATGTAAAAGCATGCATTAATTAATATTTAGCAGTTTTTGGCTCTTCACTTTTGAAAATGTGTCCTTTGTGGGACGGATAAAGGTATTCTTATTATTATTAGGTGCCTATATCAGTTATACGTTTGCTATTGTTGTCTTAATGATGATGATTATAAGTATTATTATTATTAATGTGTGTGCCTTTGAGACAAGCAAAATCATCAATCGGATGAGATTGTGATTAAAAACCACAGAGATTGTTCATTAATATTAAATTATTAATTAAAAACAGGACTTTTATGTTCAATCTTTTATCGAGCCACTCCTCACTCCTGTGTTATAGAGAAGTGGGGTTATTGTATTAAATAAATAACAATTCATTCATTTTGTATGCTACCTTATACTTACTCTGCTGGAAGCCAATTTAATTCTAGCTTTTATACAATATCAATCAACTGATGAATACATATTGGCAATTAGAAGTTAAAATATCATCATATCATAATCCAATATGTATGATGTTTAAAAGGCCTACATGCTTAAGAGGTACATTCACTTTTGCCCACTGAAGTAGGATGTATTTTAACGCTTGTCACTTTAACTAGAATGAGATTTTACAAGCAGTACCTTTTTACAATTTATATTCTGATTAAGTATACGAGCGGACCTGCTTCCTCTACCGCTGCAAACAGAGGGAAAGGGAGTTTACACTCTGAGTTTTTCTGAGTGTATACTTAATGAATGCTTTCGCTTGTGAAAATACAAACAGCGCTGCCTGGTGTCATGCTGATCTGTTTTTATACTATGGCCACATAGAGGGGACTTGTCCTCTTTTGCTCTCCTACACATGAACGAGGTTTACACATACGAGGAATTGGCTTTCAGATGCACACAGAGACACAGAAGAACATCACGTAACCCAATTCTAAAAGCTAGTGCAACAAAGGGAAAATAAAGGCAATATTTACACTAGTTATGTAGGAGTGCCAGTCATACAAACATGACAATACTATACACTAAGTGGAGAGCTGTGCAGGTTTAAAGAACGAGGTAGGTAGCATGGAGCAGAAATGTGCAAATGTGCAGGATTTACGATATGAAAAAGAACAGTGAGGACCGAGCGAGCGTCACAAGTGTGGTTTCTAACTGTGAGGCAGAACAAAAGCCTCAAATAAAACAAGGACTCCTCCCTGATAGCAGCTTTTTGGGTGGAAAAGGTAGATTTGATCCCTATTGCTGTTCTGAAAACACAAACAAATGAAAGCAACTTGCAGATAGCAACCAAGAAACCATTAAATGCAATAAAATATAGAAGCTAAAAATACTCAGTATAAACATGACCATCATCTCAAGATAAGATATATGAATATTTGTGTCGATGTTATGTGTTGTATATATATGTATAAGTGATAAGGGCGTATGTAAATATATACTTGTGTTTATATTATTGTATATATGTGTATTCTCTGGGATGGTGAGAAACTAAGCTGTAACACAAATAGAGGAATTGACAATAAAGTTGACTTTGATACGATAACGTAAAGAATATCAAATAACAGGCAGGTGGTTCCACACAATCTGATGCATTATGTTTAAAAATGGGAACATGCCCCTGGGACCCCCCCAATTATCACATGTTCACATGGATAGGGATACTAAATGCATGTGCACACTTTTTAAAGTATACAACCCATGTCGTAATGTTTCTATTTTGGTAGTAGATTCGTCTGTTACCAATCAATCAATCAAAGGTTATTTATGTAGCCCAATATCACACATTGTACATTTGTCTATGGGGACTTTACAGTTTGTACATTATACATGACGCTCTGTCTTCAGACCCTCACATTGGACAAGGAAACCCCAAAGTTAACGGGAAAGGAATGTTAGGAAACCTCGAGGAGAGCAACAGAGAACGGATAGACGGTTGCAATAATGATGTCGACTCGTGTCTGTTGAATTAAAAGATAATACGTATACGGTCCAAAATGCTGGAAAAATGTGTCTTTATATAAGAAGAAAATGGATCAAGGTGGAGCTCTATTGTAATTATTTATATTGAGTATTCTTTGGATATCTGATCTAAATCTATACTGTAAGATTTCCAGGCCCCTTATGTTGCTAAATACTAGCATCCGCCCCTACTGATCAGTAGGGCTACATTCCTGACACAGTTTTTAGTATTTCCACATGTTTTAATGACATACAACATATTTTCCAGGTGGAGCTCTAATGTATATTTTATATGGTGATTCTTTGGAATCTGATATAAATCTATACTGTAAGATTTCCAGTTGCCAGATTTCTAGCATCGCCCCTGCTGATTCAGTAACGTATCTCGATCATTCCTGACCACAGTTGTTGGTGCATTTCCTCGTGTTTTAATGTCATCAAACACATATATTTCGCAGGCGGGCTTCCCCGACAGCAGGCCGTGTGTGAGGGCTGCTCGCGGATCATCTCAGACCGCTTCCTGATGCGGGTCAACGACACGTCCTGGCACGAGCGCTGCCTGCAGTGCGCCGCGTGCCAGCAGCCGCTCACCAACACCTGCTACTCCAGAGACACGAGGCTGTACTGCAGGGCCGACTACCAGCAGTAAGGGGGGGGGGGGGGGGGGGGATTCGGGGATGGTGATGTTTTAACTGCTCTTACATTAACACAAAAAACATTAATCATCAGCACATTTAATTTAACTCCATTTTAAGCCGCAAACAATGTCTATGACAGGGGTGTCAAACTCAAAGCCTTCATCTTTTGTGGCCCGCAAGAGCTTGGAAAGAATATAATATGTTTATTGTGAGGTTACGTGCCGCTTTACAGAAGCACGTTGCCCATAAACTACATGTCCCACAATGCATCTCATTTTGTGACATACGCACTGAAGAACCTTGCAATTATTTGCCCTAGACTTCTGCTTTCAGACGTAGTTAATTATTAAGTTATTACCCTATCTGATAATAATCCAATGCAGAGGCAATAGTGTAATATAATACATTATTTTATCTATATTATATATTTAAATATTATATATTTATATAGTCTTAAAGTTACAACCGGCCCTTTGAGTGCAACCTTAATGCTAATGTAGCCCGTGATGAATTTGAGTTTGAACACCCTGGTCTATGACTACTGGTTACATGAATAAACTGCAGCGGATATAGAAAGAATAGACACTGAAGACCAAATTAACATGGTTGTTGATTTGTGTGTGTACTATCTGTACATATAGGGTTACCCATTAATTTCCAATGTGCGTGTGATTAATTGATTCCTTAAAAGGCAAAAACCCATCTCTTCGCATCTGTCTTTCTGTCAACTAATTTCCATCAACTAGTTTCCATCTATTAGCATCACTTCTGGTCACACATGCTTTTATCATATAATACTTGTAATAATGTATAATGTGGTTATGCTATGACGTTTGTATTTCCTTTTTGTCTTTGCTTGGACAGCCCTTCGAGCATTTCTTGTGATTTGGGGCTATAATACATTTTGATTTGATTTGATCAGTAATTGTTCAAATGCTTACTGTGGAGGATATCATAAGGCCTTGATCAATCAGATGTAAAACACTGATTGATCAAAGCACTAAATCGGTCTGATTTCACTTGAAGACGACAGGAGGTTTTGATGGCACCTTAAAGCATTTCCCTGCTGCTGTACGACACGGCGCATGTCTCAGGAATAAGTCAAGTGATAGGGTGCGAAGAGAACATGAGAGACCGTGGGGGTGTGTTTGATTTGCTCACCAGTGTTACAGTGTGCTCAGAGCTGGGTGGTCCTGTTGTCTGCAGGGTTTTGCAGACAGTCAGATCCTCTCTCTGCTGGGCGTCTGTCTGCTTCTCTTCAGCAGCCTTTGTCCGGCACCAGATCTTCACACACTCACTGCTGCATGCTGGGGGTCTTTCTCACTACAATGGGCCACATGCATCTCAAAACATGGCACCGCAGACACATCCATGGCTCAGACTTTCAGCAAAAACAAACAGATGCACAAATGTAACCTTTGTGTTGTCTTACTGTGCAATTGTTGTCCTGGTTGTATCTGTTTATAAAGCATAAATCATACCTCAAATCTGGGGTGACACCTTTTAAACCAGCTTGTTTCACTCATAACCACACGTTTTAATGATCTTTTATCCATTTATGGTCAATAGACCTCATTTGCAACCAAATTAAACCTTATTTCTTTGTTAAAAACAGGAACATTTTGACTATAGGAAACCATATAGAAACATATTATGATGGATTATCACAGACTGGTATATGTTCAGTCAGTATTCTGTCTCTAAACCGTTTCCATTTCTTTAATGAAAAGCACCAGATGCAATACATTTAAATACAACACACAGAATTGCACGCATTTTAACAATGAAAATAGACAAAGAAATGCACTCCAAATCTGAACAGGCTGACACAGGTTACCTCCTCTATGTTTGATACTGAGGCTTTAATTGTTGCAGGGAGAGAGACGTTGCTAAAGCAGCAATAAAAAGAGACATGGAGGGTTTAATCAGAGCTCTTCAGTCCGAGCGGGCTCTGTCTTTACGGCTGTAAATCACATGCTTCATCACGATACAATATTAAATTCATCCAACAACAACACCACAATATCTCCTGATATCACAAAGTCTGCCTTTCTCAATTCAATGGCCTCTGACCCACATGAGCACATCCTCCATATAATCACTCACATTTATATCAACTCATAAAAACAAACCTAAAAGATGATTTGACCATTTTATCACCAGGCATTATTTCTCCCTATAGGGGACTTTTCTTTAGCAGAGGTGGGAAGTAACTAAGTACATCTACTTGTAGTACTGCACTTAAGTACCATTTGAGGTACCTGTACTTTGAATATTTCAATGTTATGCTACTTTGTACTTTTACTCCACTACAGTTCAGAGGTAGATGGTGTACTTTTTACTCCACTACATGTATTTAATACCTTTAGTTACTTCACAGATGTGGATGAATGATGTGAAATATAATCAAGAGTTTAAATCAGACTTTAGTTCCACCTGGAGTAAATCCACCAGCTACCCTGCAGTATACAAAGTCATTCAAACTAGCTGCACCTTTACCAGCTTTGAGAACACTTTCATGATCAATCATTATAAAACATATCATATTATTATTCTGAAATGGACCAATCTGCACAACGACTACGTTTACTAGTCGATACTTTCACTATATTTAGATGAGAATACTTTTCTACTTTTATTTGAGGAACATTTTGAATGCAGGACTTTTACTGTAACAGAGTATTCCTACACTCTGGTACTTCTACTTTTACTCAAGTACAAGATCTGAGTACGTCTACTTTTACTCAAGTACAAAGATCTGAGTACTTCTACTTTTACTCAAGTACAAGATCTGAGTACTTCTACTTTTAACTCAAGTACAATATCTGAGTACTTCTTACTTTTACTCAAGTACAGATCTGAGTACTTTCTACTTTTACTCAGTACAAACCTGAGTACTTCTAATTTTACTCAAGTACAAGATCTGAGACTTCTACTTCTTCAAATGAACTACTTTTACTCAAGTACAAGATCTGAGTACTTCTACTTTTACTCAACGTACAAGATCTGAGTACTTCTACTTTTACTCAAGTACAAGACCTGAGTACTTCTACTTTTACTCAAGTACAAGATCTGAGTACTTCTACTTTACTCAAGTACAAGATCTGAGTACTTCTACTCTTACTCAAGTACAAGATCTGAGTACTCTTCTACTTTTACTCAAGTAGCAAGATCTGAGTCACTTCGCTACTTTTACCTCAAGTACAAGATCTGAGTACTTCTACTTTTACTCAAGTACAAGATCTGAGTACTTCACTTTTACTCAAGTACAAGATCTGAGTACTTCTACTCTTTACTCAAGTACAAGATCTGAGTACTTCTACTTTACTCAGCTACAAGACCTGAGTACTTCTACTTTTACTCCAAGTACAAGATCTGAGTACTCTACTTTTACTCAAGTACAAGATCTGAGTACTTCTACTTTTCACTCAAGTACAAGATCTGAGTACTTCTACTTTTACCTCCAAGTACAAGACTCTGAGTACTTCTACTTTTACTCAAGTACAAGATCTGAGTACTTCTACTTTTACTCAAGTACAATACTGAGTACTTCTACTTTTACTCAAGTACAATATCTGAGTACTTCTACTTTTACTCAAGTACAAGATCTGAGTACTTCTACTTTTACTCAAGTACAAGATCTGAGTACTTCTACTTTTACTCAAGTACAAGATCTGAGTACTTCTACTTTTACTCAAGTACAAGATCTGAGTACTTCTACTTTTACTCAAGTACAAGATCTGAGTACTTCTACTTTACTCAAGTACAAGATCTGAGTACTTCTACTTTTACTCAAGTACAAGATCCTGAGTACTTCTACTTTTACTCAAGTACACGATCTGAGTACTTCTACTTTTACTCAAGTACAAGATCTGAGTACTTCTACTTTTACTCAAGTACAAAGATCGGAGTAATTCTACTTTTACTCAAGTCGCAAGAATCTGAGTTTCTCTAACTTTAAACTCAAGTACAAGATCTGAGTACTTCTACTTTTACTCAGTTACAAGACCTGAGTACTTCTACTTTTACCTCAAGTACAGAAGATCTGAGTACTTCTACTTTACTCGAAGTACAAGATCTGAGGTACTTCCTACTTTTACTCAAGTACAAGATTCTGAGGTGACTTCTGGGGCCGCCTCCTGACTTTAGCGCAGCTTAGCTTGTGCATTATAACAGTACAAATGTTATTATAAGAGCATCATGCCTGCAGTACGGCCCTCTCTTTTGGTCAACAATATAGTAATGTATGGCCTTCATGTACAGTTTTGGATATTAAGGACTTAAATAATATTTATTTAGTTTAGAGGAGTCCTGATGCTCATGTGCTTTGTCTTTGTTTGGTACGTTTTGGTCTTTGTCATTGTTCCCCTCCTTGCCCTGCTGTAAGGCCTCCATTGCTCTCTGTGAAACACAGAGGTATGTGGGAGATGTCACTGCAGGGCAGCAGGTTTATTTGATTAGAAAGCAGAAGGAGCTGCTGTGTTTATCAACGCAGAGCCCCTTCAGGTGAGTAAATCCTGCAGCCAGACCCAGCAGGTTGTCCTCCAGTCTAAATACACTGCGTCCCCCCCGGGAGCAGGGGGCAAAGACAAGAGAAGGGGGGGGGTTCATGTCAACCTCCAAAAAACAACAGAGGAAGCAGCAGGAGCTCCGTAAAGCCTCGCTGTGATTGGAAACCACAGCTGATGAAAACAAGCCGCCTGAAGACTCTGCAGATTGGGTTTCATCAGAAACTGGGATTTATTGTGACCCCCACCTTGACTTCACACAGAGGCAACATGAAACAGTGCATGGCGCAGCGGAGGGATACAGCTACTGTCTGAGGAACACAGAAGTTAACCTCTTTCTGTTATCATGAAGGAGGAGTTGAGTAAAGAAAGAGGGATATAGATTTTAAGAACTACAAAACAAAGCCACTGCATATTGCTTGGCTGTTGAGATGAATGTGAGGTGTACAGAGGTATACAGAGGGTGTCATTTTAGGATGAACTGTATGTTTTTATCTTG